TTAAATTTTAAAATAATAAAAATTAATTAATTCGTTTCTCGAAATGAGAAAGATTAATTTATAATTTACTCTTTATTTGCCATTTTGAGGTGATTTTATTTTTAAAAATTTAATTAATTTTTTTGGATACCGTGGGCCGTCAAATTAGTGGGGATGTAAATAGATTAATAGTTAGGCAACAAGTGTCTAAGGACTATTAGTCATAACCTGAACAGAAAAGATGAATTCTTAAAGCCAAAAGTGCTGCCATGTCAGCAATGGGCTTGGTAGATTCAAGCAGATGAGGTTATCCTTTTTCCAGATGAACGATTGAGACTTGAGTTCGAACCACCCTTATATTGGACAAAAGATTACGAAATGGATTTTCTTCGGCTACATTAACATGTGAGCTGCTGAACCCACACATTTCTGTCATATCGTTTTCACTTTGTTATATTACGTAAGCGCAGACGTCAAGCAGACAAGCATTGATAGAAAGTCTAGAACATCCAATGAATTTTCAGCAACCAAGTAATTAATACCGAAAAAAGAAGAAGAAGTTCTAACTTAAAAGATGAAGCTTCTGATAACTTTAATTACAAATAATTCATCAGTAAATGATTAATGGAATTAGGTTATGGAATCATATGTCAATTGTCACATCTGAAGTCTTTTTTCTTTTCTTTTTTAAGTTCTATCATCATTCAATTCTTATCTTAAGAAAAAATCCAGAAAAAAAAAAAAGTAGAGAAGGGCCTGTCTTGACAGCCCAGGCGAGCTTAGCCTGGATTTGTACGGCCCGGCCCAGGCCTGTTATTTAAAACAAAGAAAAGGAAACCCTAACGCACCGATCTGGGACTCACCATGAACGCAGTAGAGAGAGAGAGACGTTGCCGGCGCGTCTCATTTCTAGCCTCACCCGACAACACGCACCAGATTTCCATGGTCGGTCTCACTAGACAAACCGAAATTCACCGGAGCGATTGGGTTCCGACGCCGCAATATTATTCGTACGCCGCGAGTAACTTTTGAACTCCGAGAGTCACCCGTCTCACCAACAACTACTTCTTTAACTTTCTTTGCTTAGTTTGGTCCCTGATTTGAGTCATATCTTGTGTTTCACCTCCTATGTTTGAGATTCAGCTAATTAAATCCCTGAGTCTTTAATTTTAAATTCTATAATTGTTTGCATGGGCTGATTTTGTGTGGATCTATGCTTTTTGATGCCTTTGAACGATTGTATTTATGATTCATGGAGTCTCGTATTCATTTTTGTGGTTATGACCTAGTTATTAGGGATTTAAGTGCATCAATTTCATGGTTTTTATAATCAAAATGAAGGAAATAAGGGTCGAGTTAATCAATTCGATGTTTTTATGTTTATTGTCTATTCTTAAGGAATATAGCGGCTTTCTTTGCTATCTTCCCCCCTTTTTTAATGGTGACAAAATTAAAATAAATCCATATAAATCAATTGGTTAAAAACTTTGTAATGTCTCTACATGATATGTGGTCTTTACATTTTATATTTTCTCATGTTTTGTAATTTTATTTTTTGACCATTTTTGTTTTGGTGATGAAACTTTTTCTTTATTTATTATGTTTGTTTTATTTTCTTGGGCCATGTTTTTTACTCTATTATCTGTGTCGTTGCAGATTTTGGGACCTGATTTCACACAAACACACACACACACACACACACACACACACACATATATATATATATATATTATGTGTGTGGTGTGGAAAGACCTCATGAGTTTAGGAACCGTGTTTTTATTTATTAAGGGATTTGAATTGGTAATTTTATTTTGTATTGTTTGGCTAGTGAACTTCAACTAGCATTGATATTTAATTTGCAAAGGAGTTTTTAAACCCTGGTTTTCACTTTTCTAATTGGGCTTTAATTATCTAATGAAAATTTAGGCAAGTGATAAGTGTTTTTTTAGTCTTCAAATCATTTTATTTAAGTTCGGTTAAAAAAATATTCATTAATCAATTCAAAATTCAAAATAGAAAATAGAGATAGAAATAGAAAAGTAGACATAGAAATGGACTTGTATAAATAAATTTCATTAGGTTAAAAATATGCTTAGGATTAGACTTAGTTTTTATTTTTTGACAGTTCTATTTTTGCCAACCTTTGTGACAACTCTATATTTTCAGTTTTCATACCTTATCTTTTAAGACCGTTTGAATGTTACCGTGTGATATATGACAGATTCATCTAAAAGTTTATTGAGCCTTGTGCTACATAATAATGATAACCCTCTCCTATTATATAATAAACAAAATAAACTGAATTCTATATACAATTTATCTATACACAAAACATATTTCTAGACATTTTTTTTATATATATGAATGAAAATATAAAGAAGCAAAATATATATATATAGATATTTTTTTTATATATGAATGAAAATATAAAGAAGCAATATATATATGACTTTTATTGATACTTATTCATATTTATTTTTGTGTTTTCAGTTATTTTATGAAATCCTAAATAAATGAAGAACAACAAAATTACTCTTAAAAATTAACCCACTACAAGAGATATTCCTCTCTTGGTCACTATCACGCACCATTCATGGATTATTTATATTGAGTGGGTACATTTAAATTACTATGCTATTTAAGGTAGGAGAAAGCTAAGAATCATTTAAAAGAAATTACAAAATAAATATGAAATTATTGAAATATTCAAAAGTACATAATATTAAAAAAAGGAAAAACAAAACATCAAATTATTCATGTTAACGAAACATTTAAAAGAATCCTTTAGTGTAGTTTGTGTTTTATAGAACATGAACTACGATTCGAAATTCATTCGTATCATATGCATTTATAATTATTTTTTATATTTAGAGATATAAACAGAAAAATAATTGTTGAACATCTTCATCATTAATAATTCACTTTATTATGAATTAATAATATACCATTAAAATTAGTTATTCATATACGTTATTGATTAACTTGAAAGACATTAATTTTTATAAAATAATAGAATGAAAATATGTAAGTTTTAGTGTGTGTATATATATATATATAACCGAAGTGAGACACTAAAACGAGGAAAAAAAATATCGACCCAAACAAATACTAACATTATTACTTTAACTCAATGATATGTATAGAGAGGGATTCTGGTTTGATGAGATGGCACCGACCCAAACATGGCAACTTTTTGGAAATGGATGCGTCAATTGTCACTCTGCCACATTGGTGGCCAACAGGCCACAGAAGCCTTACCATAAAAATAAAAGAGAAACGTTATTTTAACCACCATTGTATTGTCCTATTATTAATTAGGTTTCAAAACCTTTAGTCCGTATCAATTTTATCTAAAATATAATTAATATTTGACGATGTTATCTTTTTATTCACTTTCCGTCTAATTTATAAATATTTATTAAATGTTTCCATTCAAAATGTCAAAACAAATTCCTATAAGCTTGAAAGAATAATTTAAATGTCAAATCATAGTGTGTGTATATATATATATATATATTACAAACTAATGAAATTGAGGAGAAAAAAGAAGAAGAAAATTTTCCTTTTAACTTTCATTAGAAGTGGATGAATGTAGTAATAATATCCTAATATGTTTTAAAAAAAGCTAATAAAATTGAAAGCTTTGAATCTGAATTGACAATAATCTAATAGATTAAACTAGATTTTTTACCCGCGTTACGTTGCGGATTGGATAAAATATATAAAATCATATAGAAAAATTATTTCAGTTTAATAATCTGTTTTATGATAAAAAATAATTATAATTTTTAAATGAAAAAAATTTATATTTAACTATTTCTTATTTGTGTTTTTAAATTTTAGAAATAAATAATAAAGCAAATAAATTATTGATTTCTTTAAAATTTTAACACCCAATTAATTGTTAGTTCTTTTAAAATTTTAACACCTAATATTATTAAGAAATTAAAATTAAAAAAAAATTCAATGTTTAGGGAAAAAAAAAAAAAGGAGGCCAGCTGTTTACTGTTCATATGAATAGTAAATGGACGGAAATTAAAAAAAAATTAGTGTTTAGAGAAAAAAAAAAAAGAGGGCAAGCCGTTTACTATTCAAATGAACAATAAACAAGTAAAAAAAAGGGAGGGAGGCTAGCGGGTGCTGACAAAAAAAATAAAAACTTAAAAAACTAAAAAAAGCCAAAGTAATATAGCAATAAATAGTGATTAACACTGTTCATTGCTATAGTGAAAAATAGTTTTTCTTTAATATATAGTATTAAATTTTTTACTCGAGCTATGCTACGGGTTGGATAAAATATATAAAATCGTTTAGAAAAATTATTTCAATTTAATAATATATTTTATGATAAAAAATAATTATAATTTTTTAATAAAAAAATTTGTATTTAACTATTTCTTATTTATTTATTTTTTAATTTTAAAAATAAATAATAAAGGAAATAAATTGTTGGTTTCTTTAAAATTTTAACACCCAATTAATTGTTGGTTCTTTTAAAATTTTAACATCAAATACTATTAACAAACAGAAATTAAAAAAAAATCTCAATGTTGAGAAAAAAAAAAAAGGTGCAAGCCGTTTACTGTTCATGTGAACAGTAAATGGATGGAAAGTTTTTAAAAAAATTCAATGTTTACAAAAAAAAAAAAAAGAAATCGTTTACTGTTAAAATGAACAGTAAACGGATTTTTGGGGGGGGGGGGTGACCAAAAAGAAATAATGAAAATAAAAAAAATAAAAACATTGTAGTAATGAACAGTAAAAAGCGTTTTGCTTTAGTATAATCAGGAGTTCTCCTAAAATAAAGTTACTTTGCAAAATGATATCAATTCTTTTTGTTTTTTTATAGTATCCAAACTCGATTCTCCTTCCTTTGCTGTCATTTTTCTATTGGTCTCATAGTGGAGACCATACAGCTGAAAGACCAAGGCAGAGGGGGGGGGGGGGGGGGGGGGAAGCTCGTGTTGTTGCTTCTTGTGCTAGAGGGTAGGTAGAGAGAAAAACCGAAGAGAAAAGAGAGGATGGGAGCATTCAAGGGAGCCATAGCGGATGGAATCTTGACATCCATGTGGGTGTTCAGCGTTCCTTTGCTGGGTGTTTTCTCCTCCATCGCAGCAACATACGTGGGTGTTGAACCCATATCAATAGCTGGTCTTTTCATAACCATTAATGTCGCCGCTCTTTTTATGCTTACTTTCAGCTTGATAGGAGCTGCCGTCGGTGGTGCCAGTTTCAACCCTGCTACAACTATAACTCTCTACACAGCTGGTCTAAAGCCTGATGCATCTCTCATCTCTATGGCTTTGCGTTTTCCGGTTCAGGCAGCTGGTGGGGTTGCTGGGGCCATTGGAATTACAGAAATGATGCCAAATCAGTACCGGCATGTGCTCAGAGGTGGTCCTTCTTTGAAGGTAGACTTGCATACAGGGGCAATTGCTGAGGGGGTGTTGACTTTTTTGATCTGTCTTGCCTTACATTTTCTTTTGCTCAAGGGTCCTAAAAACTTTGCGTTGAAGGTGTGGTTGCTGGCTGTGGTTACCGTGGGATTGGTTGTGGCTGGAGGTAAGTATACTGGACCTTCAATGAATCCTGCCAATGCTTATGGATGGGCTTACTTGAGCAATAGGCACACCACTTGGGATTTCTTTTATGTCTATTGGATTTGCCCCTTTATAGGAGCAACTTTAGCTGCATTGGTTTCTAAATTCCTTTTCAAGAAGCCACCTATCAAAGACAAGGAAGCCTGAAGAGGAGGGATAGATCTTAGATGTTGTACTGTCTAAGTTTAGTATTTAATTTTCATCGTTAATGTCATGTTTTCCAGTGCTAGTACCTTGATTATGAATATTGTGATTATCTTCACACCTTCATGAATTGATCTGTTTAATTGGGCGATTAGCCATAAAAAAGATTTCAGCTTTAGCTCTTAGTTTGTTCTCCATATTAATTACTTGTTGCTCTAGTTGAGTTTTTGCAGACCCTGGATTTTAATGGAGAGTGAGGGTGTTACTAGGACTTAATTAGGTTGGCCTTGATATAAAATCTCAAAATAATTCTCTGTTGATGGGTCTGCACCTTAAGTTTCTTGAGAAGAGGTAGGAATGCCAATTGCTTAATTATGATTCTGAAATACCCATATTCAACGCCCATGTCATTGTTTTGAATTAGACAATAAAAACCAGCTGGATCAATGAGAAAATGGAGGAGAGAAAGCTTAGTTCTTTGAGTTGCCAAGACTCAAAATGGTTTAGAAGTTGCATGTCTCTGTCTAGCAGCCAAGGCTTTTGGCACAGCCAATGAATTATACTTGTAGCTTGAAGTTGCAAAATTTGAGCCTTAATGGATTGTCCAGTCCACCCAAATCCACAGCCTATTACGCTTTTGAGATGGGATTGGAAACAAAGTTTGTTTCAGTCTTATGCGTCGTTTTCCTTCCCTGGAAGAAATTATTAGAAGCAACCAACCGGTCAAAGCCAGTGGAAGGAGACGGACTACATGAAGAGAGAGTCACAAGACAGAGCAGGAATAAAGTAAAGTTCTGCAAGTTTCTGCGAATTAATGATAACTCCAGTGAAATTTATATTAAATTGGAGCTCTTATCTTATAATTTAGAATGCAAAACAAAATAAAAATACACACGTTGAATTGATGGATACATTTTGGTAAATTTAGTGGGATTATTACGGAAGAAAATGTTTTCAGCCACCGCACTCCATACTGGCTTTGGCTTATCTACTATATTTAACAATTAGCAGCGAAGTTGATTTATTTTTTACTTTTTAAAAGAAACTATTTAATGGATTGACAATACTGACTGCAATCCATGGTTGAATACGAGGAAAACTGAAGTATGAAAGGGGAACTCTTCAATCTCACCACAAATGCCAGAACACTGAATCTTTGTGAAGGACATCACCATGCAAGCAATCGTAGGATGGACGTGCAGATCATTGACACTTTCATTCTCTCTGTTTTTTATCTATGCTTTCGACTCTAGCTCTTTGCATGTGGATAAGTATGGGTCTGAGCAGGCTCATCGCCATTGAAGCGAATTTACAAAAGCTAACAGGGAATCAATGTCCCTCTTCTCCGAGGAATATTTGATAGGCTTGAAGGTAGAGAAAAGTGGTATAGTGGTAAAGCTCCTGAGCTGAAGTTTATGTTTTGCAAATGCCTTGTGCTCACCATCTACCCTGAACTTCCCGGCATTGACCTTAGCATTCACCAGCTTATCTGCCAAGTCTACATATAAATCTTCCATTGCCTGTGAATTCACAAAATGAAATAGCAAAAAGAAAGAAATGAAACTTTGGTTATGTGTTGGCCTAATAATCAACAACTTGCAATTAGGTACAGGTTATTGATGAAATGAACTTTTACCTGGCAAAAGTCATGCCAAGGCACATAAAGCACATCGAGCCAAGGCTCAGTTCTGTTCTCTAACGTGGCTAAAATGTCAATCCCAGCGCTGCTCGAAGAGATCAAGTTTCGGGAGTTGAAAACATCAGCAATTGGGTCCCTTCCATTTGTGAAGGAAGCAACTTCATTGATGTGCTCACTGAGTTGTGCATCTTCAGATTCAATCTTTCCTCTATGTGGTACACACTCCTTTGCCTTGCCCTCCTCCCGCCACCTGTACCTCCCTTCCCTCTCATGCTGCCGGGGCAAGGCCGGTCTAGTGCATGGCTTACAACCAGTTAAGACATATCCTAGAGCATGCAAACTATAAACAGGCACATCCATGGTTTGGAGGAAGTTCCACTTCACGAGGCCGATGATTCCGCCCCCAAGTACTTCAAATGAAGGGTCTATTTGAACAACAGGAACATTGGCTCTAGTACCTTGATGAGATCGATCTTTTCTTTGGCCTGTGACCCAAGCACAAAAACCCTTAAGGGCCCTTCTAAGAGGTCTCACCTCTGGTACTTGACATCATGTTTTCCTTGTGAATGCTACAGTGCTTCTCCACACCATCCAAGAGCTTGTAGGTCTCTGAGTTCAACCTCTCTGTGTCAAGGCTAAACACCTCGAGTGGGAGTATTAAAGACACATCCTCAGCTCCACTGCATCATTTTAAATGCCGTGTTCAATTCATAATACTGACAAACGAAGGCATTGTGACAAAAACTCCGTAACATTTCTATAGACTGCAATCGGTTTGATCTTGAGAGTTTAGACATATGAATAAGGTTCAATAATTTAGTTAGAGAAGCTGGATGTTTAGCATCAAAGATTGACCTCATTTAAACCTAATTAATCCTTGGACAATGACACTTTGTACAGTTTATACAGAACTTGGCCCTTAATGGTGTGCTTTTTTTTCAGAATTTTGCAATGGATTTCTCTATTCACATTAGTTTCTGTCACAAGCATATCTCTATAATAGTTGACATTTTCAATAAAATATGAATTTTAATAATCTTGACAAGATCGTATTGTCGATCGCTAGTGGTTGCTTAATTTGTCTGTCACGTTCAAGGTTCTTTTTCACTAAGCATCTCCCGTGGCTGTGAATTGGATAGCTGAAAGAAAAAGCTAAATAGAAAATAGAAAAGATATTAAAAAGGCAACACAAAAGCATCGGTTCTGAAGTGATGATGGAAGCTAATCACAATGGGTAGCTAGCTTAATTATTTGACGATCATCATCACAAAAAGATTAGCTTACCAGCAAATGCTTTCCATTCAGGCTGCACTTGCTCTTTTCTTTGTTTTTAGTATTATTATACCTAACATTTTCTTGCTCATTCTCAACATATAATACCATATATATTTTGACTCCTGTTTCAAGGACCCGCACATATCAGTGTTAGGGTTAGTGCAGGATCTTTCACCAAGGTAGTATGTTTCTTTTAGATTTGCAATTCAAAGGAAATAAATATCTCCTGGCGTTCTGGCAATTTATCTACATCTATCGATATATTTACATCAGAAATATTCAGCTATACCAGTTATCCAACTGCTTGAGAGACAATATGGGCATGACATCAAAATACCTGAAGGAAATGGTACTGTACTTTTGAAGGTCCTTGTTGATGATTGCTATAGGAGATGCTTTCTCAATTTCTTTTTCCAACTTGCTATAATCTTCTGTTACACTTTCGACCTTCTCAGTTATCTCTGCAACAATTTGCTGAGCTTCAGAAATCACATGAAAACGGACACTTTTGATCAAGCACATGAGAAGAACCATCAAACTGAATATTACAAGACTAAAAATATTAGTTTTTCTTTTTGGTCTGAACATATATTTATATATAAAAACACAAGGCAGTGATACCTTTGATGGCGAAACTTGACTGCCACAAGCGACTGCGGCATGAAGCGTCATGATCATGAGAAAACATTCGAACTCTTTGTCCCTGTAAAAAGAAAGAAACACAGTACAAAACTCATTCCCTCTCTCTCCTTTCTCTAAAACCTCTGTGTTCTTGTTTTGCTTAATTGCTGATGGCAATAGAATATAGAGTCCAGGAAGGGAGGTTAAAAAGGCAGTTTGGTTTCAGGTTCATTGAATCTGGTCACTCCATAGTCCACAGTCTACATAGAATTTCATTGTACAGAAAAACAAAGAGGTATCATAGTACTTAGCTTATGGACACCCTGTTACCTCCAACCTACTTTCAACTATGTTTAGCTTTTTCCTTATTCTTTGTCTAAAGCTAAAAATGATGATGGGGCTTGAGGGTCAGTTCTCCCTTTTCATTTTGGTGCGGTGTCTGTCGGGTATTAGTAACATCCGATTCAACAGTACAAACATAAGATCCGTTTTAAACCTGATGTTACAACTTTCAGTCAAAACATTAAGAAATTGAACAGTGTTCGGTCCAAATAAAGTCAATGACTTTGTATTTTAATCAAATAACTCGCCTCTAATTTTTCATCTGAGCAGGCGCGCCAGTTGTCTTTCCACACTTATATATTATAACCTAATGGAACATACCAAATGCTTGATTAAAATTTTTGAATGGAAATAAGAATCCAAGAACAAACTAGAAAACTTAAAACTAATTTTGGTGTAATGTAAAACCTAAAAAGAAGCAGAATCTCCATTACCAACAGCAGTAAAACCAAGGCTCATGGTTGGGGAATGAAAGTGGGCCAGCCTAGTTTTTGTGTCCTTTAGATCCATAAAAATCAGGTTTTGATGCTGTCCGTGACCTTTATTGGGCCTAAACTTGATATTGTGAGTGGGTCTTATTGGGCTTGACGTCTTCCACCTATGAACCACAGATTTCTCTCTCCAAAAAAAAAAAAAGAAAACGCAAGCAAAACACACTTGTGTGGAAGGAAAACAAAAGAAGGAAAATTATCACTCTACTTCCCCTCCACAGACCCAAAAACTATGAATCATCCACAACCACTGCCTTCCTTTTTTGCCATATCTCCTCCTCTCATTAGCCCAAACCCTCCCTTCTTAAAACAAAAATCAATCAAGAAGCCATGCTCATAAACTTCTCTTCCTCTCCTCTATCCTCTTCGTCTTCTCTTCCCAGATTTTCCAACTCAAAGTCACCCATTATAGAATCATCCTTTTTAAAACCAAAACCCACCCACTTTTTAAACCTCTTTCCTCTTCATCAAACCTTAGTTTTCACTCCAAGACTCACCTTTTCAGTAGATGCCCACTTGGGAAGAGGTTGGACTTAAGGTCTTGGGCTGTTTCTGGATTTGATTTAAGCAACTTCGAGTCTGTTTTAGAGGCAGCTGGAGTTTTGACGGCCATTATTGTTGTTCATGAAAGCGGTCATTTTCTTGCTGCTTATCTACAGGGTATTCATGTAAGTAAATTTGCTGTTGGGTTTGGTCCAATTTTAGCTAAATTTAATGCAAAAAATGTTGAATACTCTATTAGAGCTTTTCCTTTAGGTGGGTTCGTGGGGTTTCCTGATAATGATCCAGAGAGTGATATACCAGTAGATGATAAGAATTTGCTTAAGAATAGACCGATATTGGATAGAACGATAGTGATATCAGCTGGTGTTATTGCCAATATTATCTTTGCTTATGTGATAATCTTTGTTCAAGTATTATCAGTTGGTTTGCCTGTGCAAGAGGCCTTTCCTGGGGTTCTTGTTCCTGAAGTTCGAGCCCTTTCTGCTGCTTCCCGTGATGGGTTGCTTCCCGGGGATGTAATTCTTGCTGTTAATGGAACTAACTTGCCTAAAACCGGACCCATTGCAGTATCCGAGATTGTTAATGTCATTAAAAGTAGTCCCAAAAAGAATGTCTTGCTTAAGGTTGAGAGGGGAAAACAGGATTTTGAAATTGGCGTTACCCCGGATGAGAGTTTTGATGGAACTGGTAAAATTGGAGTTCAATTATCTCCCAATGTAAACATTACGAAGGTTGTAGCCAAGGACATCTTGGAGGCATTTAATTTTGCTGGGAAAGAATTTTGGGGTCTTTCATCCAATGTAATAGATAGCTTGAAACAAACTTTTCTGAACTTCTCTCAATCTGCGAGTAAGGTTTCAGGACCGGTTGCTATTATTGCTGTTGGTGCAGAAGTTGCAAGGTCAAATATCGATGGACTTTACCAATTTGCGGCTGTGCTCAATATCAATCTTGCAGTTATAAACCTTCTTCCGTTACCTGCTTTGGATGGGGGCTCCTTGGCCTTGGTTCTCATAGAGGCAGCTAGGGGTGGGAGAAAGCTCCCTTTAGAAATAGAGCAGCGGATTATGTCATCAGGGATCATGCTTGTTATTCTCCTTGGATTATTTCTTATTGTTCGAGATACATTAAACCTTGATTTCATCAAAGATATGTTGTGATGATTTGTCAAGGCATTCAAATCGAAATGAGCTCAAATGGTATGGAGCGGGTTTCTCATCTGTTCTCGATGATGATGTCCCAAGGGGAAGAATACTTTCGTCTACATTGGTTGTGGAAGAGGCCTTTATGACTTGTTCACTATTAGTATCATCCTACGTGGATCTTTCTTGTAATTCTGTGACTCATGGTTTCTTGAATGATTATGGCAGCATTAAAATGGGTTTTACAGTTCCATACCCAAAACTCTGTAAAGATGTCTATAGAAATTACATTCTTTTATAATTGCTCCTTGCTAATCGAATTCTCTATGAATGAAACAGAAATTGCCCATTGGGTAAAATATCTTTTGTTGGTTCTACCAGAAATGAGAGAAGTCAAATATACTGAGCGAAAACCTCTTGTTGGTAGAAGATTTTGACAATAATATTTGGTTCTCCAAGGATAAGCAAGGACTAATCTGAAAACTGTATCACAGAAATTAGTTCTACTCAGCTTTGTTTTCTGATTGACCACTCTTTAAGTGTTAAGTAGGAGCAACGACCAGTGAACATTAACAGAATGAAGCAGGAGAATGTTGATTAAAACCTAAATCTCAGTCTGTAGGTTTAATTAGTGAGAGAAGCTTTAGCTCAAGCTGTAGTGCGTATATTCTGCAAGTTGACATATGTAAAATTTGATGCATGTTTTATTCTCGTTTTAATTTTAACCAGGAGAAGTTTGGCAACCCTTTGTTTTTGGTGCTTCAAATATACTGCTGAAAACTCAATAATCAGAGCACCTGCACCCACATTTTGCAGCACCAAGGACTGATAGCTCGGGACATGATCAACGGGTAGGTTTTTCCTTGAAAGTGTTTCTACGATGATGTGTTTGATTTGAGCTGTGCGCCTTGTACTAAATAAGTTCAGATTTTTTCACATGCTTGGGGGATCTCATTTTAGAACACCCTGTTTGATGATCAATTCCAGTACCTAAGTACTTGGCCAGTGGGTTTACTGATTGTATAAAAGTAAAATTTGTGAAAAAAAATAAAATCTGCATATTTCTATCTTACATGAAATCTATAAATTCAGTAGGGTTTATCCCAAGATTTTCTAGAGAATGAATTTTCGGTTTTACTTGCTTAAATTGGTAAAATAATGTGTCAATGCAGCATTTCAGCATCTGAGAACCATTGCTGTTTTTGGAAGGATGGATGAAGAATTATTTCTACATTAATGAAGGGATCGAACATATATATGTTGAAGATCCTTAAAGGACTCAATACTAGATTTACAAACGAGCTGAGTAGAGCTTTGGCCTCTTCAAGCATGGTTTAGTTAAATGAGAACAAGTATCATTAATTCTTCATCTTAAACTAAGCAAAAAGATGGATAATGTTATTGAATCCTTAGCCATGTCGAAGACAGAAGGATCTGGCATGAAGGAATGTCAGAAAGCCTCGTACTTGAGCTATTAGTAAATCCAACTTAGAAATTCTACAGGGGCTCAAATGCAGGCAGGATGCAAGAGATAACTTATAACTAGCTAGCTCTGATAATACACAAGTGAAATTCCATTTCAAATGAATAAATAGATAGGAAACAAAAACACAGCCCGGTTGTCAAAAGCAAAATCACCTTTTCTGTGATCAGCATTATCCTGAATCCTCATTACTGATATTTGAAATCAATTTCACAGATTTTGGAAGAGAAATGAAATTATTTTCTCCTTAAAGAAGGGATTAGGTCTCAAGTTCCAGTTCATTTAAGTCAGTTAATCACAAATCTCTATTTAGACAAAAGAATCACATACAAATACTAATTTCTTTTTTCTAATTACGAATGGAATTTTATTTTTTTTTTAAAAAAACTAGTATTTTTATGCAATTCCTTTGTGTAATTAGAGACTTGTGAGTAATTGACACAAGTGAAACTCAAATGTGAGACCTAATTAATGAGATGTATTTTTTTTATTAAAGAATTATTATTTTTTTTTTGCTAATAAAAAGTAAAATAATCACAACATTTAATGTAAAAGCGACAAACGACGAAATTTGATTCTTTTAAATTGAAATATTTTATTTCAAAATCATTACCATTAAAGTAATAATTCATATCAAACTAATATTATCAAAATAAGCATACTAATAAACAGTCGTAACGTAGAACTTAGAAGTGATTTCTTATAGGAATACTGAAGCAAAACATTAAATTATTCTGAATGACGATGCAAAAGGAGAGATAAAAGTTACAAACTCTATTACCATTGTTATAACAATAACAATCCGCATTCATCAAATAAATGACACCGATCAAATCTGAGTCAACTAAACCAAAAAAATTAAACTTTGGAGACAAGTAATTATATGGTCAACAACTCAAAATGAGCAATAAATTAAAGAGAAAGATATTTTTTTTAATTAAAAAATCTATTTGTTTTAATTTGGCTAATAAAAAGTAAAAAATATCACAAAAATTAATCTAAAGGCAACAAACGCCAAAATTTGACTATTTTAAAATCATTACAATTGTCATCTGAAAATATTGCATGTCAAAAATTCTTTATGGAACATTGATGATGATGCGGACGTATACGGACTAAGGATCTGTATTTAAAATGTTACCACCATTTAGATAAAAAGAAAAAAGAAAAAGAAGAAGTAATAATTCGTATTAGACTTATGATTACTAAAATAACCTTGTTAATAAATAGTCATGGCAATGATGAACTGACTAGTTTAATATACTAATTGTTAGAAGTGATTTATTTTTTTAAAACTTCTAAAAATATTGTAGTAATACATGAAATGATGATGAAAAGGAGTGATGAAAGTTACAAACTCTATTATCATTGCTACAACAATCCGCATATATCAAATAGAAGTCAAACAAATATAATTCTATCAAAACCATAAAAAAAAAAAAAAATTGTTGACAAAATTATAAAAATTTTATTTGTTTTGCTAATAAAAAGGGAAAAAAATAATGCAAAAATAAAAATCGACAAAATTTGATTTTTTTTAAATGAAATATTTAATTTCAAATTCATTACTATTGTCATCTGAAAACCTGAACTGATAAATATATGTCAAAATATCTTTGTAGATACAATGATAATAACGTGCACGCACTGACTAGTGATTTGTATTTGCAATGTTATTGCCATTTAAGTATGCAAGTATTAATTCATATTAGACTAATGATTACGTATCAAAATAACCTGTTAATCACACTTGTCAATTATGTTTTGGTTACTATTCTTTTTTTTTATTATTATTATTATTGATATGAGATATTTCAGTAATAAAGAATTATGTTGTTCTTAATTTCTCGAGATACAATATATAATATATAAAAAATAATTCAAAATAATATTTTAAGATACAACACTTTCAACTTAAATCTAAAGATAAATTAGTTTTAAATAGTGAAACACAACCGAAATATCAACCCTCTAAGAATTTAATTTCAAAATTCACAACATTCTCAAATATTTAAGAGAATTTAACATGTGTTAAACATATATAAAATGCCAAAAAATAAATTTATTAAAGGCGAAGTTGTAAGGCTCAAAAAATCATTGCTAAATAGAAATAAAACCAGAAATACTTACAATTTCACATAGAACCTACCTAATGTTTTATGTTGTCATCTATAATTATTTAGTCATATATATATATTACATAACTTTTTTTTTATATATAGATAAATAATATAGATAATGCATAATTAGGACGAAAGGAAAGAGAATAGTTGTAAAAAAAAAAAAGTAAATTATAATTTACTCCCTTTGTTTTGATGATTTTGTAAATTAGTCCTTATATTTTTTAAAAAAATAGTTAGTCTCTTAGCCAAAGTTTATTGTTTATTTTTTATTTTTTTTTCTAATTTTCCTTTTTAAATGAATTTTTAACTTTATGTCTAGTATATAAGATTAGGAAATTCAATGACGGATGATGGATATTTTTTTTAAAAAAAAAAATTTAATTACGATGAAAACTAACAAAATTATAATTTTGTCATAGTTTTGATCAAACAATCCAAAATGGAACGAGCGAAACATACCTTAAACATATTGGTTGGTATTAGAACGAGATATCTTAGACATCCCGAGATTTTGAGCGAGATAAATGGAATTTGTTTCCTTTCGTCTTGTTTTTTAATACGAGTATGAGATATTCTGAACATTACGATCAGAACACAAGTGACAACGAATCAACGATGATGTTAATAAATTGTCTTGATTATAATGAACTAACTAGTGTAATATTCTAACCATTAGAAGTGATTGATTGTTGTGAAATTGAATAATAGATTAAAGAGTAAATGCATCAATCTATCTTTGTATAATATTTAAAATATTTTATCTCGTTTTTAGGTTTTTAATTACATTTCATCGGTTTTTGAAATTTTTTTGAATATTCAGTTTGTCTTTTTAATCAAATTTTTCGATCATTGACGAAATTTTTTACCGAAATACTCTTTACCAAAAAGTAAAAAAAAATACTTAAAGTCACATGACCTACACGTTTCATTTTTTAAGTCTTTATTCTTTTTTTTTTTCAAAAGCATTTCGATTAAAAAAAATTCTTATAGTCGAACAAATTGATCAAAAAGATAAATTAAATGCTTTAAAAAATTTAAGAGGAGATGAGATGTAATTAAAATTTAGAAATAAATAGGAGATTTAGGTCTTATATGAAGACATATTGATCTGTTTACCCTAGATTAAAGAAGAATATATATATATAATAAAAAAGTAAAGGAATCACAAAAATTAATGTAAAGAAGACAAACAATAAATATGACTTTTCTAAACTGAAATATTTCATTTCAATATTTTTATCTAAAACCTGTATTATTAGTGAATGCATATGTACTAAGTAATTAATGATATGTATTTATAATGTTATTGCCAATTTGGCATGAGTATTAATTCATATAAGATTTTGATTGTCAAAATAACACCGCTATTAAACAATCATGACTATAATGAACTAACTAGTCGTCTGATTCTAACTATTGAAAGTGATTCTTTTCAATTTGACAATGAGGTGATAAACTAATTAAATGATTCTAAACGATAATGCAAAAGAAGCGATGAAAATTATAAAACTCTATTATCATTGTTACAACAACCATGATATACATCAAATAAATGATTAAAAAAACAAAAGATCCCAACCAAATCTGAATATATTAAAACTGTAAAAATTTAAAATTTGTTGACTTGTAATTATATGGTCAAAATGAGCTATAGATTACGGAGGAAGATATTTTTTTCATGTATAAATATGTTATTTGTTCTTTGCAAATAAAAATAAAAATATAAGAATCACAAAAATTAATGTAAAAACAACAAATGGTGAGATTTGACTGACTCTTTTAAATTGAGATATGGCATTTAAAAATAATTCCAATTGTCATCTAAAAATCTGTATTAGCAAAAGCAAGTCAAAACATCTTTATAAATACATCAATAATATAGAATGTCATTTGAGTATATATGTGAGTAGTAATTTATATTAGACTTTTGATTGTAAAAAAACATTTTACTCTTTTAAAAAACAATTGCTAGCAAGTAATCATATAGTCAAAATGAAAGATAAATTAAAGAGAAAGGTAGTTATATTAAATAAAAATCTTATTAGTTTTTTTTATAATAAAAAGTAAAATTAAGAATAACAAAAATTAATGTAACAGTAATAAACGATTAGATTTGATTATAAAAGAAAATTTTGCTCTTTTAAAGAAAATTTTTTTATTTCGAAAAGATTACAATTGTCATATGAAAATTGTAAAAAAATATCTTTGTGAATATACCAATAGTATCCCGTGAATTTACAATGTTATTGCCATTTAGATACGACTGCATGCTTTAATTCATATGAGAAAACTGAATTATAATTGCTAAAATAAGCCTCTTAACCAGCCTCCTCTATATTCTATTCTCATAAAATTAAACCCATGCCTTTAATAGTTTTTCTCTCTAAATCTATAAACTCTTCGACAAGAGAAGCTCAAAAAAGTAGACGACTTAAGTTTCACACTCTCTGCTCACTTTCTTTCGTTTCTCACGCCTGAAGAGAGGAGAGAAGTAGCAAAAAAAATAATAAAAATAAGTGCAAACATTAGAAGCATGCATTAATTAGATAACATACAATTGTCACTACAGAAAATTACATAAGGACAAATACTATTGCGTAATCACAATATCAGATTTTGGTTCTATTTAAACCCTTAAACAACCAGCCATACACAACCAGAAAAGAAAGAAGAGAGTTTTAGGCTTGTTAGCAGCCAGTGGTGGTGGTATTGGCGGTGTGGAGAAATATACAAGATGATGAGCAATAGCAAATCCAACAATAATAGAGTAGTGATGAAGAGCGGAAAGGCTGCTGGTCCAAAAGAGATCAATCAAGGCTTGAAGAAGGGGCCATGGACGTCAGCAGAAGATGCCATCTTGATAGAGTACGTGAAGAAACATGGAGAGGGGAACTGGAATTCTGTGCAAAAGAATTCTGGATTGATGAGGTGTGGCAAGAGTTGCAGGCTCAGATGGGCAAACCATTTGAGGCCTAATCTAAAGAAAGGTTCTTTTACACCCGATGAAGAGAGAATCATCATTGAACTTCACGCCAAACACGGTAATAAATGGGCTCAAATGGCCTCTCAGGTAAATATATATACATGCATGGAGTACCATGCCTTATATTTTTTATTCAATCTCCACCATTTGAACGGTGCGTTATTCAGCAACTTTATCATACCACGAAGATATTGATCATTTGAGTTTTTTCCTCAATCGGATGTTTCAAACTTTAAAAACAATTGATTCAGCGTGGACCAAATGTTCGATTTGCATATTACAACTATATTAGATCGACACTGACCGGATGTTAAAACATGCGGTTGAAACACAACATCCCAAAAACATTGAATAATTTGTCAGATTTGTTTTAGATATTAGATTTTTTGCATTCTATAAGATTCTGGTCTTGATGTTAATTCATGTTGTTATTTATTTGTTTTCAGGTGTATGTCTTAGATTTTTTCTATTTATTATTAATTGTAGTTTTTTTTTCCTTTCTTTCTTCCCTTCTTTATTTTTATTTTTTGTCAAAAATACAATCGAGGATGATAGTTTCTTCCAATCAATTTGATGTATTCTTTTCTCTGATTTTTATGTTCTTGAGCTTGAATTATGATTTCTAGACCATTTACCTTCCTTTTTTTTTTTTTTTTTCCAACTTCTCTCTCCATTCTCCATTTATCTTTAGCCCAACCAATTTTTCCAAGTACCTTGTACCTATCTCCACCTAATAATATATTTCTTACCTCTATTATATTGCAGTTACCAGGTAGAACTGACAATGAAATCAAGAACTACTGGAATACCAGAATGAAAAGACGTCAAAGAGCTCGTTTGCCTATATACCCTCAAGATTTCCAAACAGAAGCAGCTGCATTTCATTTTCACCACCAAGAAAAAGACCGGCGAACACAACCCAAATCTTCATCTACTTCACTCTCCTCACTCCTCCCCTCTTCTCTTCGCAATCTCTCTTTTTCACTCCTCGATCCCGTCAATAATTTCTCCATTCCCTTAAACCCTTTTCAGAATCATCCGAATCCTCTTGCATTTTATTCCAATCCGAGTCATCAGTTAAAGTTGTTAGTCAATGCCAACACTAACGATGGCAGTTTACCAGTTCCATCTCCGTCTCCTGTCTCGCTGTACGAGCAATCATCTCCTTCTACAAATCTATTTAATCAAAACCATACTAGGCAAGAAAACCCACTAAATACACCACCATCACTGTTCTGCAATGATGCAGATATGGAAAGTAATATGAGTTTTACTTCACTTATGATGGGAGCTCAAGTTCAACCAATTGATTTCATACCTTCGGAGCTCTCTTCCTACCAAACACCACCAGGGCGAACAACTTCTTGCGGTGGTGCTTGTGTGGCGGAGGCATCGGACAAAACCAATGTCAATGAGTACAGTCACAGTGAAACTGGCCAACAAGGAATCGGAGGCGATTGGAATAATAGCGGTTTGCTGGATGCTTTATTGCAGGAGGCTAAGACTATATCTTTTAAACGGAAATCAAATTGTGAGGACTTGATGCTGGCATCTTATGAAGGGAAACGTGTGATGGATAGGACTATAGAGGAGGAAGGTGTAGAGGAGGACGATACCAAGCGTGTTAAATTGTTGCTGAGAAATGGTAGTGAAAAGCTCTCCGATGATTTGAGCTCGTGTCAATCCTCAAATATAGGCAAGTTTATTTTTCTTTTTCATGACTCTGGATTTCTTTTTTCCTTTTTCTGGTAAGTGAGTTTCTTTTGTATACTGTAGTATATTATGTACTATAGCAGTAAGTTGGTACCTGGTGAGACAATGGTACTTCACACTATTTGCATGATTTAATTTTCCATGCATTATGAGCCTCCAATATTTTCTTGCATCTGATTTATTTAACATTACTCAAATACTTGCATCTGATAGATAGGAAAATTCCATTGTTTTAATGCTTTTGCATTACTCAGTGATGAATCCAATCGAGGAAGCAGTTGATCAGGAGATGAATTCCATGGATGATGATTTAATCAGCCTGCTTAACAACTTCCCATCATCCGAGCCACTCCCAGAGTGGTACCGTCAAAGTAGAAATGATCAGTCCTATTCCAAAAGACTGTCATACTGTGGGATCAATGGTGACAATAGAGACCTACTCGACATTCAGAAAGATACTTCATCTCTCATGGCTTGAAAGGGCCCTGGTTTCCTGCAACTGGAACAACTTGCCTGGCATTTGGTGATCATTAAGATTGTCGCTGCACCAAAAATCAGCATATCCTTATAAAAGGAGTACTTCAACTAGAGAGCATTCATGAGGAAAATGATGCGGGATATTAATGCTAGCTGGAGCAGTGTGTGGTTTTATCTCTTAATTAATTAGATAGATCTAGTTGGAGTTTTCTTTTTATATTACTAGACCTAACATGGATGTAGGCCTAGAAAGAACGAACGAACAAAAAAAAAAAAAAAACGCTTAGTATTGATGCGATCTGTATATATACATGAATGCATAACATAGTTTATTTTGCGCATAATTGGCTTTAATTAGTTTTTCTTAATTACAGTTTTCGACAGCGTTTTCTTTTTCCTTTTTGATTTCATTCTTTGCAGATTGATCCAAGAATAGTGGGAGCACTTGAAGTTTTTGCAAGAATTTCCTTATTAGGTAATATGGCATTTGCTATAAAGAAAATTTTCTAAATCGATACCATCGAATATAAATCTTATCACATTAGTGACACAAATATAATTATCAAATTAGATAATTAATAAATTTCTAATCATAAGCTGTCATATTGTTTAGTAAAATATTATCTCCAAATTATTATTATTATTATTATTATTGATTTAGCTTATTGTGAATGAAGTACTACTGATCATCACATACCTTTAAACTTGTAGGAAGGGGATGTAACCGGAAATTTATAGGGGATATGAGCCTATGACATGAATGAAACAGCGAAGGACTAGATCCCTCCTTGGCTAAGTTTAGAAAATGCATTGCCTGCATTTTACTACATAAGTTGCCTGTTTTTCTTGCATCCCATCATGCCAAATTGAGGATGAGCATGAGTGCATGACAACCCCGTGCCACCTTATTATCTACCAAATCTCATAAAATAGCCATGCAAACATGGCAAATTATTCAATGTCTTTAAATCCGATCAGTTTAGATCGGATGTTTGTAGTTTTCTATTAGCATATTACAAACAATTTATCCCAATGTATGGAGCTAATTAATGTTCTTCAAGCATAACTCGGCGCTAGGCATCAGGTTCTAATAAAGATCAAAGTCAAAGCACTATTAGCATTCCAGTCAAAACTTTTAATTTGGTAGCCTTATATACGGTTAGACGTGTATGCAATTAACTTGTTTGTCTAGGACCACCTAGGTACTAATGAATTTTGATAGTTAAATTTGAATTCAGTCCAAAAGATCCTTAAAAAGTAATGGTTCATTGTCGATTTTAATTATATGTTAATATTTTATTTATTTTATGCGAAAATGATGTTCTAACCCTGATCGTCAAGAGGTGTTATTTCTTGCATTCAGATGAGAATACCGTTGAACTACTTCTCTTTTTGCAATAAATATAGTATAGTTTCCTTATTCATTTCTCTAATTGCTTTTCTTGTTAATTAATATTTTACAAATTATTAGATATATAGGATTTCGAAAAATTTACAATATTTATGTAGAATTGAATGTACAATCTTTGTGCAATAGAATATAAAATTCTTATTGTTGTATTTTTTTTTTTTTGTTCATTTTTCTTAAATTACTTTTTTGTAAAAATGCTTCAATAATAATCACAAATTTCTCTGTTAAGACGGCCCTTAATTAGAATAAGTGTTTCTAGCGCTTTTAACAGCGTGGATATGGAGGTGGCTTGGCGGATATTTATGATTATCCATGGCAAGAAACAAGAATGAATGAGCATGTATAGGGGGTGATGTTTGTTTAGGTAGTCTCTGATTGTTAAAATAAGAATGTGCTAGCTAGCCAGCTTGTGTGTTGCCTTTAATTCTTTGCATTTGAAACGTATGTGCTTTTAGGAAGAACTAAAGGATTCATGCATACCACCTTTCTCTCAATCATCGCCCACGTTTTCCCTCTTCACGAATGCTTCAATTAAGCATACTAATATTTCATTTAAGTGAGATTGAGGGGGTGAGCGACCAGCCTAGAGGAACACGATTGTTATCATCCTTAAATTAAAATTATTGAATCCAAAATGAATCAACATGATAAAAATCATAATATTTTAGTTTGGTATTAATTTATTTTTCTCACTTAATTAATCGAAATCGTTAAATTCAAAATTAATGGTTAAATCCAACCAAAAGTATACCCTTGGACGAAGGACTTTGATATATTGTGTGACTCTCAAATTTCAATTTAAGCCACAAACTTCTTCTATATACAATTCAGTAATCTCGATAATTTGCCTCAGTCCATCACATTTTCTAGTCCGTTATAGGGAGCCAAAACTGTCTGCTGTCAATTATTCCTATTTTCGAAACAATATCACTTTTAATATAGTTAATTGTCCAGTCAAAATGAATTTCTTTTAGCAATCTGACCAATCAATGCAGGCGAAAAGAACAAACTAAAGATTATACAGTACTAGGTCGATCTAATATATATTAATTTATTAAATTTTCGATTCTGTGATTGAATTATCGTCAAATATCTTTTTTTTATTTGCCTATTTACATGTCAACGCATTTCAAGAGTAAAAAAAAAAAAAAGTACTCATGTTTAGATGTTTTTCCAAGGTTCTCTTTGAGGACAGCAGAGGTAGCATGATCAAAGGTGTGGTCACTAAACTAGTACATGTATTTCAAGCAATGGCTATGGCATTTCTCACACCACCTCAATTCAAGCCATTGATTCCTCTGCTCATCAACCTTGTGTTGCCATTACTCCGCTCCTCCTCAAAACATGTAAATGTTTTCACATCTCTTTTGCCTCACTTCTTGCTTCTCCATCGCTTTCTGCGTAATGGAAACTCTGCTTCCTTCTTCAGCCTGGACTCTCAAATATATTATTTATAAAGGGGCCTACGGAACCCCTATAGTTTGACAAATTTTTCATTTTAGTCCCAAACATTTTAATTGTTTTTTAAAATCTACCTTGAACTACATTCCCCCTCCCCCATGCAACCACCAAAGCAAAACGGAAAAAGATGCTCAATTATTCTATAATCATGATTTGTTTACTTTAACTAATGATCAGATTTAGCCCTATAATTGCCAGAAAAGAGTTATCATATGTTATCTTCACCAAATAAAAATAACACTACTAAAAAATTGTCATCTCAATAAAAAAAATGATTTGCACAAATAATAAGTGAAAAACATATATATATATATATATATATATATCGGTAAGGATGATACTGCATATTATTAGTTTTTATAATTCGCAGAATTATATATTCAAACTCAAAACTGACTTTCAATTAAAAACCATTACAATTATCATTTGAAAACCTGCACCAGTGAAGGTAAGTCGAGCAATAAATAATGAAAATGTACAAGAATCACAAAAATTAATGTAAAAATTAAGCCATAAACGATGAAATTCACTTATAGAAGAAAATTTGACTCTTTTAAATTAAAATATTCAATATCAAAATCTCAGTTGTCATCTGGAAAACATCAGTGAATGTATGTCGAAACATTTTTATAAATACATCAATAATAATAGATTAATTTATGTGTGTGTTCAAACTCAAAACTAATTCTTATTTTAAAATCATTACGATTAGTATTTGAAAACCTACATCAGTGAATGCATATCAATATAAAAGATAAAAGATAAAGTTTGATTATAAAAGAAATTAAATCTGACTTTTTTAAATTGGAAAGTTCAAAATATTCACAATTGTCATTGAAAAACATTAAGATATGCATATCAAAACATTTTTCCGAATGTTGTGTGTGTCTATATATTTTATGTTCAAACTTAAAACAAGCTTTCATAATTTCAAAATCATTACAATTATGATATGAAAACTTACACTAGGAAATACATGCCAAGCGAAAACAACGTACGAAAATTTAAGAGAATCATAAAAAAAAAGAAAAAAATTAATGCAAAAGCAATAAATGACAAAGTTTGATATTTTTTTCTATTACACCTGCCCACTGGCGGGGTTATCTGATCTTCTTCTTATTATTTTCCACAAGCAGCAGCTTGATTGAAAAATCTCTATTCCAATGTTTCCTCGTTGATTTTGTGAAAGTTATGCAATCGTACCATGCATCTATTCTATTGGATTGGAGAGGGAGAAAGTGGATATATATAATGTGTCTTCAAATTATTAATTCAAAAAATTAGTTTATATTTTTCTTTATTCAAAGTAATTGAAATATCTAAATATGAGCCTAGACTAGAGGGGTCCACCAAATATCTGGCTCATACGAAGGCGGTATTCTTATTTCATAAGAAAAAAATGTTTATTTATTTAATGGTAGAGAATTAGTTTAATTGGTTTTTTGACTCATTTTGTTGCTTCTATCTCTATCTATCATTTGTTTGAAAAATCTTCTTCTTTTCATTTTTTTTTCTTTTCTTTTCCTACTTCTCTCTAGCACGATAGCATTTCAAATTGATAGAAATATACATAGAATGTCAACTCCTTTCTTTTAGCAATAAATTACTAGCTATTTAGTGCATTGATTTCACAATAACTTTCCAACTTGGTCTCGCAACTTGGTTTGATAAATATATATATATGGTAAAATGAGATCAAAGATATTTTTGTGAAATCTGTAAATAAATAAAATGGCACAAAAAAAGTCACAATGGTTTTGTATTTAAAATTATTATTTTTTCAAATAATTAAATTTTTTAAGCAGAGAAAAAATGAGTCAACTTGAGTTTTTTTTTTTTTTGGACAAGTCACATTTTATTTCTATTTTATTTTAATTTGAATAAATTATTATTATTATTTGTATTGAAATTTTAAATTTTATTTAACTTGATCAAATATGGTCTATATCATAATGCAAAGTAGATATCCGTTAAAAGTTAAAATTAAAAACACTTAATTAATAAGTTTTTTTAAAATACTTACGTTTAAAAAATATATATATATACTTAGATATAAAAAATATAAATATAAATATTCGATTAGAAATAAAATAAAATAAAATAAAAAATATATATAAATATTCGATTAGAAATAAAATATAAATATAAATATTCTATTAGAAATAAAATAAAAAATATATACACATATATTGGCTTGTCACTTAACAATCACATCAATATGTATGTGGCAAAGTTTAATAAAACACTTTATTAGAAAGAAAAAAAAACTTCAAAGTTTGATTAGGAAAAAAAATATCTATTAGAAAATAATATAAATTAATCATATCATAAAATCTTACTTAACGGTTTAAAATTTTAGGTGAGATAGTCTTTTGATATGGTATCATAGCCTTGCTACCTCGAATCCTACCACCATCGGTGTGTTAGAAAATAATATAAATCATATTCTAGGAGTTTTACCTAACAACTTAAGCTTTTGAATGAGATTGTTCTTTCACATGGTATTCTCTTCTAATTAATTAAACACAAGTAATATGTATTTGTGTAAGTTTTAAACCCAAAAGGGCTTTCACTTAAAGAGGATATGTTAGAAAATAATATAAATTATATACGAATACCACATTGACAATCCTCACACTAAATATTATAATCTTTTGTGATGAATATTGTGAGTTGAAAGTTATAAGGAAAATATTTTTTCCCCTCCATAAAATACTTCATGAAATTAAAAAAATTTACACAAAACAAACACAGACTGAGTAGAACAAAAGGAGTGATTGAGTAAAGGATGAAAAGCGTCATAAATGAGTTGCTTGAAAAAAAAAAAAAAAAAAGGTTTGAAATACTAATCCTCCCATATTCAGCGAATAGAACAACGAATATCCATGACCGCATTGCAAAAAATGGTATGCGTGCGTGTAAGACAGCTAAGAAGCCGACAAATAAAAACCTGTAACCCCCAAAGATTTTCATCTACGCATGCACTCTCTCACTCTCTCTCTCTCTCTCTCTCTCTCAACCTTCGCGAGAATTACTTACCCAAAACCCATAAAAAAACCATCGCATCAAATACAGCTGATTTCACTCTCAAACTCCTCTGCTGCCTTGCCCTAAGGTACTCTATCTCTCCCTCTCTGAGATTCTTCTGTGTGTTTCTAGGGTTAGAGTTTTTATTGCTTTATGCCCTTCATTTCTTAATCTTTTTTTTATCGACGTTTCATTTTTCATATCTATAAACATTGTACTGTTTGGATGAACTCATTTTAATTATACAAATTGTTTATATCCTTTTTATGTTGTGGAATTGGTAGTTTGTTCATCTAGATTCATGCATATAAATTTTTTGAATTTAAACTTGGAGTAGATATTCATAATGGTTTTGTAATTTTATCTGCTTCTATCTTCAGAATTGAATCTTATCTTTGTTTTTTGATTAAATTTGTTGCAAATAATTATCAATATTGTTATGTGCTATTGACATGTAATTTCATGTGTACATGATCTACAAAAAATAGAGAACTAAATTACTCCTTTTCTTTACTTTTTTCTTTTGTCTTGGGGGGTTTACTAAATTGCATAGTTGATTCAGTATTAAATATATTTGAGAATCTTGGATTGGACCTGTTAACTATTTGAAAAAAGAAAGAGAGATGGATTCTTGGTTCTTCATAGGTTCGCTCCGGCGTAGCGTTTGCCAGTTGACTTTTCGTACTTACCCAATGAAGTTCACCCTTTCAGAACATAAATTTAGGTTAAAGATGGCTGTATTTTAATGGTAGATTCATGCCTATAAATTTTTTGAATTTAAACTTGGAGTAGATATTCATAATGGTTTTGTAATCTTATCTGCTTCTCTCTTCAGAATTGAATCTTATCTTTGTTTTTAGATTAAAATTGTTACAAATAATTATCGATATTGTTATTTTCTATTGACGCGTAATTTCATGTGTACATGATCTACAAACAATAGAGAACTAAATTGCTCCTTTTCTTTCTTTTTTTTTTCTTTTTTTTTTGGGTTTACTAAATTGCGTAGTTGATTCAGTATTAAATATATTTGAGGATCTTGGATTGGACCTGTTAACTACTTGAAAAAAGAAAGAGAGATGGATTCTTCATAGGTTGGCTCGGGTGTAGTGTTTGCCAGTTGATTTTTCGTACTTTCCCAATGAAGTTCACCCTTTCAGAACATAAATTTAGGTTGGAGATACTGGTAGATTTGGAATTTGTGTTAAAATTGTTGTAGGTTGGGAAGCATATGATGATCCAAGTCAGTTCTGAATGAAATGATACTTTAACAGCTCATATTAAAAGCATAATTTTCATAGTAATTCTTTTTTTTTCTAAGAATTGATTCCGCTCTTTTTTTAACTTGCCTTGTGATACAACTGCAGAAAATAAGAGCATGGGAAGCAAGGCGCCAAGCTGGGCTGATCAGTGGGGTTCAGGCAATTTTGGAGAAGATGATGAGGAACTCGTGGCTAAAAAAGGGGTTGGCAATGGTAACACTGGCAAGAAGATGGCGGAGGTCAAGGCAGCAGCTTCAGCAGGATTCGACAAGGCCAAGACAGCTGCCCAAAAGGTAAAGAGCGGAACCTCGGTTGGTTTCAAATGGGTCAAGAACCAGTACCAGAAGAAGTCTTCAAAATAAACAGTAGAGTTCTGAAGATAGCATACTGGAGTAGGCTGGATGGTGACAGGATGGTATTGAAAATAACTGGTCATTTCTCCTAGACATGATCTACAAATGTATGAAGATACATTTACTTTCAGAAAGCAAATCTCTCATTGTTTAACAAAAACAACCGAGATCTGTCTTGTTAAAAAGGATGAACATTTACATGAATAATACTCGAAAAGATAAAATGCCTTTTTTCTCTGTCAACAAGCAAAAAATTGAGTTCGAAAACTTTATAATTCAAATAAGCTTATCTCGAATTAGTTGGTCAAACGGCATCCTTGTCATTTAATTTCTTTAACAAACCAACCAAACTTCCAAATATTAAGCCCAGCTGGTCACATAATTTTCAGCAGAATCAGCACAAAGCAACGTCGTTAGGGTTGATTCGACAGAGGACCTTGTTTCTCTATTTATAATAAGAATTTTTTTTTTCCAAAGGCCCTGTTTCTGTTGTCCATGCATCAAGGCAAAATATCCGATCAGGCACATAACCCAAAATCAATCAGCCATGAATCACCAACAACACAAACAGAGAACTGCATGCCATCCACTCAGCACAGAATTGACACAAGCAGTCGTTAACGCAAATTAGAGAAAAGGAGTTCAGTTAATATAGACAAGGCAATCATCCAAAGATAAAAAGAAAAGTCAGAGACCAGTGTAACTTGGAGGCAGCAGCAACTGACACAGTTGAGAATTTACAACTAATCTAGATTCTTCCCCTTTTTTTCTTTCTGTTTTTTTTATTTCGCATGGCTCGTTCACACGGATGTGTCATTGCAGCATTTCACTAGACCCCAAAGGTGTTCTCACCACTGTAAGTCATGTAAAGGAATCCATCTTCATCCTTGTTTTCCTCGTATATTGCCGACATCATGGCAGCTGCAAACAATGCAACCAATTTTCACATCACAAAGTCCGTAAAACAGGCCACGTTCACAATTTTTAAATCAAAATACATTAAAGCTTATCTCACCAGTAGGTGGTAGAATGTTCTTCACAAAGATGAAAATAGCCTTCTCTGGACTGAGCTTGATCCTTTTTCGGACCACGTACACGAATTGGCCGACAGTGAGATCAGCAGGAACCAAATATCTAACTCATCCCAAAGTTACAAATTAATTTCCATATAAGAAAAAAGGCCAAGGTAATGAAGAAATGTGAAATGTATTAGTCAGCATACATCACTAAATCCACTCAACACCTTCCAACCATTTAATAACACTTAAGTCTCTCATAATCATTTAGCTAGGAAGCTAAGCACATAAAATCCAACCATTTAACAATAACTAGAATTTAAAGAAAGTTGTGTTTTTCATAATCATTTAGCTAGGAAGGTAATGCATAAGCACATAAAAGACGACAGGCTTTGGCCTCACATAAGTAAATAGTCTTGCATGTCATTCCTGTGTCATAATTTAAAACACCCAACAATGAAATAGCAGCCAGAGGGTATAATAACTCTCCAAATCCATAATGTTCACCGCATGTTTATCAATGTCCAATTTCAAGGCCAATAAAATGTAATTGTGAACGATTAACATTTTAGAAATTATACCAAGCACACCACACCATTCTATTCCTTGGCATATCACCAATACATGATATCTAAGCGTACAGTCGCAATTACTCACTTAACTGTAAAAGAACTCCAAAAAGAAACACAAAATACTAGCAGCAAAACTCAAACTCAGCAATAAACAATGTTCTAATAAAAAAAATAAATGAAAAATGTAACTAATGCAAGTAATTTCCACGGACTAACTTTTTTTTGTCAATGTCAGGGACATCGCTCTTTTCAGCCCTCTCCACAATCACCTACACAAAATAATTACTTATAAGTTATAACTTCAAACTAACCAGAACATACAAACACTCAAAAAAAAAACTGTTAAAACAAACATACAGGAATTCTATCAGGATATTTTTCTCTGATGCGAGCTGCTTCTGCCTGCCTCCTTTCTGTCATCCAAAACAACACAATCTTTAAATAATTCCACACCGAAATCAAGATTTAACAAAAAATAAAATAAAATAAAAGCTAAATTAATCAAGTGATCAGAATAAAACAAGTATCATAGCAAAGGTTAGGCTTTCTTAGAGACATAAAAAAACAGGAAGAAATTGAATACAAACCGAGAGGATGTTCCATCTTAAAGGAGCTTTTCGCCATCGCGATGATCTGCAATTTTTTTTTTTTTTTTTTGGGTTAAAGAGAGAAACTTATTTATGCGATGGATCAAATTAAAATGAAAGAGAAGAAGATTATAACGTAACGTACCGTACCGTACCGAGATTGAGAGGAAGAAGGATTCAGAATTCAGATCCGGAAGGTAGGCAGAGAAAAAGAAGAAAGAAAGGAAATAATATCCTGCAAGAAAAGCAAACTACTTCTCTCTCACACTCGATCACTCCCTTTATTATTTTGGCTGTTTTATCCGCTACAGGCCTACCTACAGTCGTTTGTGTAGAGCCCACGTAAATTATTATGGGTCACGCTAAACGGTGTCGTTTTACGAGCTCCATCGCCGGCTTTGATATTCTGTCCGGGGTTATTTGTTTTCATATGGCCTTGGGTCTTAAATAGTAAATTTGGTATTTACAAGAAATAACTTGTGGTTCTATGAAGGCTGCATGGACCAATAAGAATCGGCCTTGTATTTAATTTTTAGAGGCCCACATGAAGAAGCAACAAGGCGGCAAGCACATCAGTACAAAAGGGGTTGAGGATGGGGGAACCTGTCAGGATGAAAATGAGAGGCATCAAGAACCGTAAAGGTTTTTTCACGTTTATAATAGATAAATATTTTCACGTTTTAAGAATGTTTGCTTTTAAACATTATTAACATGATATATTTAAAGTGCGGATATCAAAGTTTAAAATTTTAAAAATCAAAGAAAGGATAAACCTTTTTAACAATAAGTCTTATTCCTTACTGGATTTTGTTAAATTATTTATTCATTAGTTTCTCTTGAAAAATAAATTGGGTCTACGATGGTCATTAGAAATTAGAATGGATAACGAATAACGAATAACCAAGCTTGAACCGATTATATATACTATTCTCACGATAAGGAGCACTGCACCCTTTGAGTCTAGCTGGAGTCTTGAGGCAGTTTCTAAGCTTAGGCAGAGCAAAGTCATCAATGTTCCCCTAGAAGGATTAATGTGACTGTTAACTGTAGGTGACAAAAAGCGTTTATGATAATGGGGCGAAACCCCGCAAGTCTGGAATCTGGATCAACCAAGATATTTGGGCTCCGAGCTACGACTGTGTTCTGTTCTGTTCTGTTTAGGTTTATCGCTAACCCTTAACATTCAACCATTCTTGTCCCTTTTAACCCCTTCCCCGCCCAATAGAACACCACCTTGTTCTAATGAATTTGACGAGCAGCAGATTTCCATTGTTTTCACCCTCCGACTCACTCGTCATGAGCTCCAGATTTCTGAGTTTTAGCATTGACAGGGAAGTCTTCACAGTTTCGGGAGCCCATCTCTTTCTTTTCTTCTTTTTTTACTCAAGAGTTGCATCGACAGCAAAATTAATGAATAGGAATCATTATTGCTGCATGGCTTAAAAGCTCATAATCAAATCAACCAACTTTAGGCATCGACTCATTGGATATTGGGTAACAGAATATCGAACATGTCAAAATCGAACGAGGGCTAGAAAAGCCACTGCCAAGACTTGTATTTATTGTTAGCTTGATTGCCCGTGGAATTCTAAACTTACAAATCGGCTTTAGTGAGTATCAAAGAATTGTTGAGTGGTTACATGTCCACAGCCTCTTGCCTCCTCTGGCCGCAATTGCAGTTTCTCTCCTTAACTAAAATGGAGAAGTCCGCAAAGTAGGGCCTCCTCTCTCACATACATACACGTGAGCAAGGACGTGAATGTACATGCATCCCCCCTCCTATTGGCGTAATATGACATGGTTACTATACTCACAAAAAATACAGAAAAGACTCGAAACACCTGATTCTTTAGTGTATCATCCTCCTGAGATTGGAAAAGCACTATCTCCTAGAATGTTGCACTCCACAAAGCATTCTCACCTTCCCCGCAACGCCGATGGACCTCCTTAATCCTATCAGCAGATCTGCAAATCCCACTGCAGCTCCAATCAAATGACGCAACACAGATGTTGCCAGCCTGGGCCTTCCACTCGCAATCTGAGGAGACAAAGTAGTGAAAAATAATCAGAATTTTGAAACATGCTCTCCTAGTACTCGTACAATTCAGTTATGCTTGGTCTTGGCAGAGACTAAGGTTTAGAGCCCATGTGCTTGAGGATGGGCCAATAACCCATGTGGCGATCTTATTTGTTATATATTTGCAAATAGCAACTAACAGAAGAAAACAGAAATAAACGTGATCAATAAAAGCCATATGAGGCTATTGAGCTTTCATTTGAATAGTGATTGTCGAAGTAGGATAATTGTCACTGCCATAATGAGAATTCCAAATTTTAGGTCAGAAGCATCAATGGTCTACATAAGTTGATCCATCACGAAATTATTAATTTGTGTGGGCGGATCTTATTAGTTCTACATGAACTTTCAAAAACACCATACTGTACATGATAACTTCTTGAAACCTTACAAAAAATAGTACAAATGATCACATCAATCCAATATTTAGTCAATTCAGTCTGTTGTGTAGTGTATTCCTTCAAGGTGTAAAAATTGATGTGATAGAGGCTCACCCCCCACTGATGTATGACATGGGAACACTCAGTATCTTCAGCAAGACAGTAATTGCTGGTTCTAGAAATTATATTAAAGTCTAATTCAGTCCAAGAAAATCTCATTTTTATATTTTAACTAACTAAAGTTTTTCAATATTTCAAGTTAAATATAGCTTTACCAGGTGGAGTGCCACAGCATAGCCTCCGATCGTCAATGTGCTCAGCGTCAAGTCCAATAAACCATGACCCCAGCGAAACATCTTCATTGGCAAACTTGTGCAGAACATGCCTGAGATTATTATTTGCACAAGAATCATCATTAATGTAAGGAAACTATCGAAAAAAGTTGGACGTTTAGATCCAGGCACAACCTTCCGTCATCTTACGTTACAAAAAAAGAGGAACTTACTGGTTTATTGATATATACTTAGCCAAATCTTTTGAAATGGCATACAGCTGTCCAGTAGCATGTCGGAAGTACTTATTCCCTGCTTCACCAAATTTCCAGTACTCAGGTTCATGGTATCTCACACCCCTGTTCAACAAAGTGAGAAGTCAAGAATCTAGACAATGACTGTTTAATTAAAACTCTTCTGACAGAATGAATTCAAGACGATTTCACTTACTTTTGATTAAGGACAGGACCAGATTTCATGCATCCAATATATACCCGTGGTTTCTTTCGGTGTCTGACTAGAGTTTCTCCAAGTGTTGCTGCAGCAAGTAGCAAGAAAATGGACTTAACACAAATTATTAGAAAGTAGAAACTATGACAGCAATTTACTTGCATGGATAAAACCGATAAGCTAATCTGTGTTAACTACCACATTTCCTGTAGTTTTCTTATTCTGAAATAGGGAAAATAATACCACTTTAAACATCGTCAGATAATTATATACCAAATGAATGGAATCACAGCATATTATAATTGACCTACCTATATTTACATGGACATCATCATCAACTTTGACATAGAAATCTGCATCCCACAAAGCAACAGCAGTAGCAAAATATATCTTTGTCTTGGCTGACAATTCAAGGTACCCTTCCACATGGTCCTGCTCATATTGTAGCAAAAAAAAAATATGTGAGCTCGTAGATTTTTCTTTTCCTGAGTAGACTATGTACTCTTTTTTTTAGCAACGATCAAGTGTATCATTAATTAGGACAGCACAATAGAGAATAGGAGATAAAAGCCTCACCAGTCTCAAGAAATCTCCATGCTTTCTGTCCTCCGCTTCAATAGCTCTGTCCAAAATGCCTCCCGATGTCGCACTAGATAGTACAAAAATATTTAAGTTAATTTAAATTCATGATCTAGCATTTTCAAAGCTATTAGTTATCATGAATAGAAATCATTAGCGCATTCAGACAGAAGTTTTGATTGTTTTAATCAACATTTATAAAATATTTGAGGACTAAAACCATATTTAACAGAACTACCTATGAATTCATGAACTTGTGAACATTGACTCAAAGAGATTGGCTAATAGATGCCTCCTGGAAAATAAATTCTGCTATATGATACCATAGACTGAACATTTCTACTTATGTTAAAACAAAGTACATACAAGTTACAATTCAAGAAGACTTAGAATTGAGCTACAAGAGTTTAAGTTTAGTAAGACGAATCGTGTATAACAAAATTACTAAAGAAATTACATCACTGAAAGAAATTTTTTGAATATCATTTCATGGAAATGCAAAGTTCATCTTATACATGCAACTATTCAGACGACAATGTTAGGTTAATAAGATCATTTCGAAACCAGCAAACAACAACATTGATTGATGAAGAAATGCTATTGAAATTTCATTTCGATGGGAATGCAAATGCACCCAAAAACCTTAGTAATCATTGCAATGTGGTAGCTTACTCTTCCAGATTCTTTCAGTGCCTATAACTGAAATCAGGATAATTATGGATTCTCAAGACAGATGACATTAATTTGGTTATAGAAAGCAAATGGAAAAGTTATGCAGTCTTAAAAGATTGACAAAAATTTAAATTGGTGCATGGGTATCCCTAATCATTGAACACATGATTAAGGCCAAAAACATCCACTCAACAACTCAAAACTAACATACACATCCTCCATCACGAAATACAAGCACCATCATCCAGATCATTAAAGAGAATAGAAGTCAGCCACCTATGACCAATGACGAAGCGAGCAATGATACCCTTCTCTTCTTCCAGTTTCTTCCTTTTTTCACCTAATTTGCATTAAGGAAAAAGGAAACCTTTGTCAGCAATGAAATCTCACAAAGCAATTAAAATAGCATAAGAATAATGAAGTAAAGAAGCAGGGGACAATTCAATGAACCTTGTGGCATCCACGTAGCACGAACTGAATCTCTTCTTTTGCGGCTGCTAAAGGCTGTATTAATTCCAACGACCATCAAATATCTTCTTTTCCCAGATGACCCAGTCTTCTTTAAGTCCTCTGACAAAGGAGAGCCACTGAGTATAGACTCCTGTGCTGCCCTTGCAGCAGCTAATTCCATCTCTAAATTTGAAATAGTTTTGTCTAATGTCCTACATTCAATTTTCTATAGTGAGTTTGCTGTTCAGGATGTCTTCATACAGATCAGCTATGTGATATGTAAGCAGAACGTGGAACAATTATGGGGCATAAGCTATACTTACTGAATGGCATTATGAGTTTTATAAACTTCCCCTATAATATCCTTCGAGTCACGCTTCACTTCTTTCTGGTGCAACTAAAGGGATTCAAATCAGATTACAAACAACAATGGTGATGAGTAACATAAAAGAATGAAGTAAACAACATGAAATGCTTGAGTATAGCCACAATTTAAAAACATGAAAGGACAAGAAATTTATCATTGGACAAATAAAGATACCCACATTTTGATCACCACAACCCTCTGAAACTAACTTTAGTTTTTCAGCTTCCACCGTAGTTGTCCGAGTGATGCCTTTAGGCTCGGGAACTGTCCACCTGCCACCATTTCTCCAAGTTAACATGCCGTCACATCTTAAGTGCCAACAAGAAGTTACCTTGTTGATGATTTTTTGCAAATTCTTTAATCGTTCAGAAATAAATAAAAGTAATGATGCAAACAAACTAATCCAAAATAAGCAAAAGATGGAAGCTACTTGCAGAACCACAAATCAGCATACAACTATTGAAACAGATATCAGGAACTTTGAAGATTACATTGCCATGAAATTATTCCCGGAGACACACCAAGACTGAAGAACATACTCTATGTTAAGATTTGAAAACGGAAGAGAAAATCTACTGCAGATCATTGAAAGGACTACTACAATCTCATCAACAATTTCTAGTTAACCATCTCCAACAAAAAAGAGCAGTCACAACTACCAGATATAAAAGAAAGATTTATGGCAATGTACAGAAGATGTCGGTGGCCTTCCCTCTCTAGTACACAACCATGTGGAAGCAGGCTGCATAAATTAGTGGAGGTAGTTTTATTGGTAGCACATGGATTGCCAACAAATAAACCCCATTTAAAACCACTAGCTTAAAGAATATCACATGAACAGTGGTGAAAAAGAAAAAGATTAACTATCTATTTATTAGATGATGGAGGAATTCGCAGAAGGGCATGAAAAATTCTTGAATAGGATGACCTGTTATCAAAACATGAATTCACAAAGGTTTGAGAAAACAAAATACCGACGCTAATAGTATTGAAGTAAAAGAGAAAGTCAATGCATCAAAGTCCTAATTTGGATAATTAGATCTATCTCACTTTAGCTAGAAAATAAAGTCAGAAATTGTATGAAAAATACAAACTTGAAAACCGGTGCTATATGAAGATGCAGATAACTTAAAAGAAGTTCATACAGTCAAACATTTTTTTAAATGAAAATTAAAACATATTTTTCCACTAAACCAATCAAATCATGTCTACGATCTACACAATTACCAATCAACAAAACAAAGATCTTAGAATTTGAAAAAAAAAAAAACAGCTTGTACCCATTTCATAAAAAGAAGAAACTTATCAAATTCGATCAAAATAACCTCTCCAAAGATTGCCCCAACAGGCAATTCACATTGAAAACAAATAATTAAAAAAAAAAAAAAAACCATACCTATTAGAGAAGAGCATTCCAGCACAGAAGCAAGCCAAGCAAAATAAAAGAGTCCATTTTTGTGATATAACATTTTTTGAAGCGTGCTGGTCTCCTCTGCTCTTGAAAGACATTTCCTTTCCTAATTATTTTTATCTGGGTTACCAATTCTTCCCTTGTATTTCACAAACCAATAGCTATCTCAACAGAAACAAACCCATATGGAAGAAGAAAGGAAAACCCGACAACACAAACCAAATCAAATTGACAAAGCTGAAACTGAAAGCTCCCTCAAGAAGTACTTAGAATTTCTTTTAGCAGTACCAGAGCGGAGAAAGAGAGCTCTGTCCAAGATTTGAAGCAGAGAAATGTAAGAAAGAGAGAGACTAGACCAAAGTGGTCGGTCTGGTTTTTTAACTTGTCCTTGTTTTTGTTCTTTTCTTTATCCTGTTAGCTACGCTATGAAGTAGTTGTTGTTTCTCTCTCTAGATTCTCTCTCTCTAGATAGTATAGAAATCTTCTCTGCTTTGCAGGCAAGGGAAGTCGAACAGAAGTGAGAAGACCTCTTAACTGCCTCTATTCTTGTACCAAATTACCAAACCATCCTCGTCCACTCTACTAGTTTTTTTTTTTTTTTTTTTTTAAATTTTGTACTATACTAGTCGTATTTAATTTGCCCGAAATGGGACAAAGAGGCTAACGCAGGGACATTAATGCCCTTGACAGTTTCTCAAAGATTTTCTTCTTCTTTTTATTGGGGGATCTTTTTTATATTTCCATATGAATAAAGTTTTTTTTTTTTTTTTTTTTGAATGTTTATGAGAATAAACTTTTGTGAGAAGGAAACTTGAACTTCTAAGCTGCCATTTACTGTCCAATTTTACTAAAGTATCTATATCTATTTACAGCATCAAATGCTTAACTTTGTCCCTTAAAAAGAAAATAATGAGTGGTATCGTTTTTTTGGGTTCTCCAGATACAGCAATAGTAGAACTTGATTCTGATTCTTCTTTCCTCTTCTGCGTTACCAAATTATGGAACTACTAAAGTTCTTATCTTATAACTATAAGACACCATAATGAAACGTGAAAATAGACATAATATTTTAAGGTTGGCCATTTGAATATTTATTTACCACATAAATGTCGGTAAGAGGCTTTTGTTCTTTCTTCTTCTTTTTTTTTAATCCCCCTTGGCAGCGATCATTAGGAAGCTATACATAATCTGATCTCTCGTTTTTTTTCGGGGAAAACAAAGGTATAAAAGGGATTGTTCATGTCGACGCATAATATTGGCCTTCGTAACTCGCATATCGATATATTTATTCAGATAAACTTTTCACATCCATATTGAAATCAAAATTTAATATATTTTTGTAAGAAAAATAATTATACGTAAATATATCATTTGAAATAAAAATCAATAACGAAAATGGAAGACAAGATCGTTATGCTAAATGAATTTCTTAGAGCCACTTCTAAGGGCATCCACGATATGGAATAAAGTTGTTTGTGGTTGACACCAATTAAACAAGCGACCCAAATTTCTCATTGACCCGTACAAAATGTATACACATGTGTACATGAATATAGTTAATAAGTAGATTTTAATAAATATATATTTCTAACCAACTTGATCGTGGGAAGATACCATAGGGATCCGTAAGGACATGAAATGAAAAACCAATAATATTGCCACTTGACATGATAAATGTTTCATTTATGTCGAAGCTTTATGCTATGTGAAAATGACATCTCCATGTCTTACCAAAAAAGGAGGAGAAAAAGAGAAGAATCAAAGAAGTAACTATCCTTTTTATTTTTTACCAAATCTTATTTCACGAGTATTAATTTGTAATGGAGATGATTACAGTTTTGGATTTAAATCCTAAACCTATCTCGACCAAAAAAAAAAAAAAAAAAAGGCACATTTTGCCGCATTTGAACAACTTTTAAAGGCATTTTTGGATGAGAGAGGTTTTCTTGAAAAAAAATTACAAAAGAAGAGGATTCGGTTGTCTGTGGTCCTCTGGATAGAAAAGCAACACATGAACTCAAATTGACTAAGCCACCGAACCTTTATCATCTTTCACCGTCACATGGTCGAGTTAATGGGGTGTTCCATTATAAATAGAGTTAGGACGTGAAGATTTTAATGGACGGTTAATATATATGTGTGTGTATCAGCCAATTAAAAGCTTAAAACTAGAATGATCACTTTAATTCTTATCAAATGACTTATTTGTCGCATAATTGAGATTAACAGTAAGTTTACGTCTTTATAGATTTACAATAATTGTTGGTGACTTTGTCTTGTCCCAATTGTAACTAGTGAATTATTTTTGAAAGCATTAGCATGCTAGCATTCTAGATATGATTTGTTTTTAAGTATGTAGGAAAGTTATAATTTGGTGGATAGTAAGTATTTCGGAGGATTGATGCAGGTCTATTGAAAAGGAAGGAATAATCATTTATTTGGTTGAGTCTTCATATTTAGAATAGATGATGAAATGTCATTCGAGCATCACAACTATCATGACACTCGTTTGATGACAATTACCACTAATCAATCCCATTGAAATATTAATGTACAACAAATTAAAGCATAGGAAGGGACATTACGCTTAGACTTCAACATCTACAATGAATAATGTTGATAGTTATTTTCAATGTCAAAAGAAAAAAAACTTCCAAATTATTGGATTCGCAGCCATAATTTGGAAGAATCTAAGCAGAAGTGTCAGCAATTAAAAAGTGCAAAAAGAAAAAAGAAAAATGAGCAAAAAGCATAATAAGTTTTGGAAAGGATGGTCAAGAACACGTGATTGGATCTTGCAGCTTGAATAGGTGGCAAGTTCCAACTGAGAAGGCAACCTTACCCTGTCCATTAACCATGTGACATATTGCACTTTGGCTCACGTGGAACCTGTAAGGATCTACATGAGACAGGGCCCACTTCACAAGCTAGGCATGACACGTGCCATGATTTGGTTAGCATGCACTAACTTTGATGTTACTTCAGCAACTAAAAAGGGTCATCCATCCTCCAGATACCCATAATATTTGGGGACATCCCCTATTGTTTAGAACATGGCAATTTCATCACCCAGTTCTATGTTTATTTAATTTTAGATTCTTGAACTAAATCATTTGTATTGGATACACCTCCTTAATTAAGGTTTATCTCTCCAATGCAAGAGCTCGCTTGAATCTCAAACGGGTCACATGTGATCATTACCCTCTGTTTGATAGTGCATTTAAAAATATATTTAAACTAAAAAATATTAAACCACCTAACTATCAAAAATAACCGAGTTATATCTAAGCGAATTTCTTATTAATATGTGGTATTCAAATCCTAGTTATAGTTATTGAACGAAATTAAACTTTTTCGCTTTTGTTTCGAATATGATTAATTTTATTTTTAATGTTAGATGTGAAACTAAGTACAACAAAAAATATTAAGTTTGTTATTTTTTAATCCAAGTGTATTTTTATAAAAATACATACAAGGCATTATCAATATATGTTTAAATTTTAGACTCTTAATTTCATATATGACTTAAAGAGATGTAATATCTTTCACTATCTATCAAGATTCAAATTTCTCATCTCAAGTCGATTAAAAAAAAATCCCTATATATCGTTAAGATAAATGACATTCATCATCCATCTCTATATTTGTTTATTGTTAAATTTTTGGAAACATGCGTTTTTTTTCCTAGGAAACAAGTACCATATTCTAACAATTTATTAATAATAAATTATAAAAAAAAAAATATAAGAAGTGGACAATCCGAGCCTAACCCAAACATCCAGGGTGGGCAACGGAAGGCTTACCCCTAAAAGCAAGATGACATTATGTACTTACATAGCTATATCATATCTTGTTTATTAGCCACTTTAACAATAAGTGGTAGTTGA